ATCATGAAACACCTCAAAATTTGATTAAAATTAATTAATAATTAAATACCGGAAAAATTGGATAGAATTCATTAATTTAAATTGGAATCTTTGAAAATGTTTTGAAATTCTTTATATTAACTTGAAATCTGGAATAATTTTTGGTCAATAATTCATAAATTACTTAGAAATCTTTCAAACCCTTTTTTATATTCGTTAAATTTAACTTAACATCAATCAAAATTGACTTAAATTTCCCAAATATAATGTAGAAATCGTTAAAAATTTGGACAGAATTCCATTTAATAAGAAGAAATCTTTCACATATTGTCTGTAATTCCTTATATTAACCTAAACTCGTCAATGAATTTTCGGAAAGAATTTTATAAAATAGGTTGTGTTCGTTCAAAATTTGGATAAAATTCCTTAAATTAAATTTGAATGTATGAAAGTTCTATTAAAATTCATTAAATAATACAGTAATTATTAGAAATTTAAAGGAATTCCTTATTTAGAGTGAAACATTTTAAAATGTGTTGAAATTCTTTATTTTAACTTGAAAAGTCAAAGAATTTTAAGTTAAAATTATATAGATTTCGTTGCAATCTTTCAAATTCAATTAAATTTCCTTATATTACCTTCGAATCGTTGTAATGTTATGAGGTGACCTCGTGACCTCACCCTATCTACATATCTATATATATATACCAACTGATTTATGTATTATTTATTTCATTGGAAAATATAAGAATTGAAGGAATATGTATATCTATGTATTATCAATTTAATCATTTTATTACTCATATATGAATAAAGGCTTAGCTACAGGATATAGGATGTGGTCCCAGAAAACCCAAAGCGAGTAACACAAGGAAGCCAGACCACATAGACTTCCTACACGGGAGGGCTGACAAAGGATGTCGCCAAGATGAATAACTTTACCGAGGGCTAAAGTCAGAACACTTGTTATAAGGAAATGAATCACATATCCTGTATCAAGTATTCAGCAACATGCAATCACTTGCTAGTTAGAGTGAAACATTTTAAAGATTCCTTGAAATTGTTTATTTTAACTCGAAATATTCGAAGAATTTTTGGTTAAATTTATATAGATTTCGATGAATTCGATCAAAATTCAATTAAAATTCCTTAAATTACCTTCGAATCGTAAAATATTTTTTTAATTTCCTGAAATATTACGTAAATCATCAAAGAATCTGTTAGAATTCCTGAATTTACAGTGAAATCTTTCACAAAATAATTGATATTATTTATATTAACTTGAAATCGAGAAAAATTTTTGTTTAAAATTACATAAATTAGGTTGAAGAAGATCAAAATTAGTTTAGAACTTAGCGCCCCTATATACATTTTAGGGGTCACTTTGTGACACTTAGTGGCTGGTTATTCCTTTGCACTGACATCTGTGATCCTGAAAGAAGATAACTACCAGAAACACTTGCACACCTTGTTTTATTATATGCTCTAGATTTATGTACATAAATTATAACAAGAACAGACATTTGCACGTCATGCCGCGCACTAACAAGGTGGTGTGCTGAGTAATGAACAGTAATAATGATTTGTTTTGCACTTGTACATGGTTAAGTTTTGGCACTGGATTCTTAAAAATAAAAAGTAGCAAACTCATGTTTATGTAAAACTGTGTCAAGAGATGGTTATGGCAGACAAAATACGTGTCATAACTAGAAAGAAACTTGTAAAACATCAGCAGGTGGGATGAGCATTATCATAACAATGGCAAATCTGGTGCGGGGTACTGGACTGAGAGTTGGCAGTTCGTTAGAAATATACACACCCATGCTTACCATTGACAAACGAGGAGTTTCCTAAATACTTCCCTAAGACTCCGATATAATTTACAAAATTAAATGTGACTCAATATCGAACCAATTACATAATGTATTACTATGTAATCTTTTTTCCTCTCTATGGCTCTACAACCTGTTGTTGGGCCTTGGCCACTTTTCAGTTTCTTAATCCTACACACAATCCGTAGGCCTTCTTGGAAGGGCAATCGGCCCATTGCAAGGCCACTACCCACACAGAGAATAACACAGACACAGAATAAACACACACAGACATCCATGCCTCGAATGGGATTACCCACAATCCCAGTATTCAAGTGGGTGAAGATGGTTCATGCCTTAGACTGTGCAGCCACTGTGATCGGCTGTATGTAATTCAACCGAGAGAAAACTCAGAAATATGTACCACTTTTGACATAAACTGAGCCAACTTCATAAAAAACTAGTTTACATGATCCCCATTTAATTACACTGATAAAAAATTGATGCAAAGACAGTGCATATGCTTTCTCATACATGACTGACCTCTACTGTGTTACACTGGAAACAAAACTGATAGTTAAAATCTGGAAGTTTGTGATGATGGTACATTAATATGAAGATTATGTTTGTGGAAATTTCCATCATTTTGTTTTTATCTAAAGCACCATCCTGTTTTCATCTAAAAACACAATATTTTGGAGACTGGATTCTGTCTCCATCTTCAGGTGGAGGAACCTAGTCAGTTGGGCCCAATTGAAGAACCTAGTTCCTATCTCCAGACACCTGTACCAACACTAGATAGGCTATACAAGACAAGCATAGCACAAACCATCTGCAAGAGCTAAGACAAAACATAATATTAACAACTCCACGTGTATGAGGCTCTCATAGATGGTCTGTGCTGTGCTTGACTTGTATACCCTATCTGGTGTTCGTATAGGTGTCCTGAGATAGGGTTAGCTCTATTGATTGGGCCCAACTGAACAGGTTTTACCTGAGGATGGAGACAGAATCGAGCCTCTAAAGCGTTGTTTTCAAATAAAAACAGGACATTTGATAATCTGAAGAAATATAATGCCCGAAACTGATAGTTGTTTGGTAAACCACTGTTTGCTGCTAAGTACTGAACAATGAAATCCATCTGTCTGGTAAGTCTGATTTTGAGAAAATTTGTACTTCACGTTTTTGACCCTAGAGCATGTACTGTTATTTCCCTGTAGATAACATCTATGTAGTTTTACTTAGGGAAATGTTTTCCATAAAATTGCCGAATTCTAATCAGAATTGTTTGAGCCGTTTTCATGATCGTCATTTTGCATTTTGAGGCCCGTATTTTAGGAGCTAGAATGTTCATGTCTAACAGGCATAGACTAAACTGTTAAATATCGAATATGAATGAAATCTGTCCAACTGCTCAAGCACTAGCAACTGTTTCTTAACCGGGGGGTGGTCTTAAAACATGTAATTCCATCAAAAGGGTAACTTTTTGATGCTCAAAAAAATGAATGTAGAAATTCCCAGCAAATATAAATAATTACAAAACAAGATCTAGATAAGTAGTAAGAGGAAATGGAAACATGAAAATAGTATTTTTTTATTCTTGCAATGCAAAAGTGCAAGACAGCAACGCTGGTACTGATAATGGAATTAATGTAGACCACATAGAAACAGAGGCAGCAGTTGTTCAGTGGTTACTGATAATAAAGTAAAGAATGATTTTAAATTCTTCTCAGACTTTTCTGTTCTCTCAACATAAAGAGAAAAGGTAAAGCTATCCCTATAACAGACCCCGGAGGCCCATAGGGTTGTGAGATGTTGAGGCTCCCACATTTTCTAGACAATCTGCTCACAGATGGTGGTGAGGTTGTCACCCTTATGTGCTGGCAGGCCACGCTTAACCCCCAGGAAGACTCCTGGTACTTATTTCTTTTAGAAGGTAGGTCGACCTCAGGGCCATAGTGTGGATGGAAGGGTTAGGTCAATGAAAAATCCAGTGACCTCATTGGGATTTCAACCCGCAGCTTTCTGGCTTGTAGAATAGTGTCTCAACCAACTTGAATTGTATTTTCTTTTTAAGAGTAATATTACAGTGTGCTTTATAGGGAGCTAATGTCCATCCTCTTGACTGTGACTTCCTGAATTAATGTGTAATGACTGTTCTATTAAATATATGTCTACTCTGCTAACATGATTTTATTGAAATATTTTGACTGACTGTGTCTCTTTACTTGAAGTCGCAACGCACTTTTATATCTATCTATTTAAATACTGGATAATATTTTAGATAAGAGGTACATAATTGTTGTGTCTAACATTTAATATATTGTGTGCACGTGTGAAAAAGATGAACTCCCTGTTAGGAGGTTATCACAGTACAACTCTTGTACATGGTTACCAACATTTTAGAGAAAACTGCTGTCTTAGTCTTATACTACATGGTTTTAATCAATAAGATTAAGGTTCAACATTTGTGGTTTCATATAACTTCATTGGCATAAATGGCTTTGTAGATGCCTTGGTCACAGACATTAGTAGGGGTGGGAAAGCCAGGCAACTGCCCCTTATTCTCCCCAGATTTGGGGGGAAAATTAGAACTGAAGAAAGAAGGGTGTCTAGCAAATACCAAAGATTATGATTGATTAAAAAAGAAATGCATTCTTCTATCCTGAATGCAAGAAGGTTATCAGTACAATTCGTTTTAATGATTTAATAACTCTGTTAAGTACATTTTCTGGCAGTACACCATTGGAAGAAAACCTGGTCACACCCATAGCTCTGGTATGTATTTTTCTATTCTACTTTGTAATTTCACATACATAAATCATCAGTTTCTTACTAATGCAACTGAAATTTAGGCAATGAAGTCTTTTTAAGTGAATGCTTTGCAAAAAATGGTACTACTATCCGACATTGCATATACTTTTTCTGCCTTCATCACATTAACCCCTGATAGTGATGTAGGCCGATAGTCTGTCCAAAACGTTGAATACTAACTACACGTTCACATGGTTCAATGTGTGAGATTCAGTCACCAAGAAGGCTCCAAAACTTGTATTGTTAATTTTAGTGCTGTCCGCGTTCTCAAAGTCAAAGTCACATTGTGACTGACGGTCAGTCAGTCTGTCTGTCTGTCTTCGTGTCTGCTTTCTGCATTATATTCTGACATATAGACCCATTGCTAAGCAGTGACTCTGTAAATAGCAGCCGTTGCTAGGTAACACCTGCAACAACAGAACAGCAGGATTGTGCAACCTGTTTATAAGCATCGGCTCAGTATAGGCATTCCCATGGAAATGAACATTCATGCAACAATAGAGGAATGGTGATTTTGACATGGTCCACTCTGAGGAGTTATCTTGAAGACAATTTAGTTGACCAGTTGGAAGTCAGCCAATGAAGAGAAGACTAGAATGTTGGCGTGAAATGGCTGCTAGCCTGAGACAGTTCAGTTGAGTCAAGCCCTGCAAGGAAGAGCAAGAAGAAACTGCACTATAGTTGAGTTGACAGTTGACAAAAGTTCAGTTGCGGGATATTCGCTGGACAGTAATTATGTGAGTGTGGGAGCGGAAGAATCTCCACTGTTAGAAGCTGTTGCTATGGAATGGCTGGTGAAGACAGCAGGCTAGGAAGGGCTTACGGATGCTGCTGTGATCTGTGAAGTGTGGAGATTAGTGATAGCACTGTAATTACTTGTAGTTTCGAGTGGTGTGTACAGGTGGTCATTAAATCTATTCACCAATCCATACCCCATATATAGTCACACATACGCATAACAATATGTGACTGTCAGTTCTCCTTGTTGCCTGATTTCCTAGTACTATCATCACAGACAACAAAATGACATTCTGAAAGATAACAGCAGTGCTACTGTTCTGTGTCTGAAGAAGAGGTTATTCTATTGAGATCAGTTTATGATCATATGCATATGAAGGAATATTATCAGCATAACTGGTCATAATAAAAACAGAGCTAGCTCAGTAATTATTTGTAATATATTTTCAATTTATATATGCAGTTGTCCTTTTAAAATTATTATGGCTCATATTTTATTTAATCTTACTAATGTGATCTACAAATTTAGAATCAAATTTTAATAATCCAAAACTGTTTGTCATTAATTGATAATCATAACAAAGATGGCTGCTGATGGTACAATTTTAAACATGTATTCAAGAGTCTGTTACACCTCTCTAACTTGTATGAACATTTAACATAGAACTGGTNCTCACGGACTCATACAATTTTGTATATGTACTTTGAAGATTATTTTGATATGTATTTTAAGGACCATTTACACATCCNATAGTAAGTTATTTAATTTATGTTTTAATTTAATTTTATTTATTATTATTATTATTATTATTATTATTATTATTATATGCGATTTTATGATGTATAAGTTTGCCTATCTGCAACCTGAAAAATTGATGTTAACCTATTGTTGCAACTCACGGACTCATACAATTTTGTATATGTACTTTGAAGATTATTTTGATATGTATTTTAAGGACCATTTACACATCCTGGTTATATACTGTATGGATCTATGGAAAATAAATAAAATGAATGAATAAATAGAGCTTTAAGGACGATCACGTCCAAGATGGTGTTTGTGACATATATCAGCATACCAAAGGCAATTTTTACTGCTTGAATAAAATGCAATATCCATGTGAGTTTTAAACTCAGGAGTCCATATTCAAGTGAGTGATTATCTGAATAATAGTCATTAAATCACCAGCAATAACTCCACAGAGTAGTGCTTGAGATGATGACAGTTGCTTAGCCACTTGAGAACTTCCCAGAATTTTATGGAACCCAAAGTTTCATTACCATGTTCAGAAGAGCCTGCTACTGGTCCCTATCCTGAACTAGATGGCTGTAGTCAGTAACCTCACATTCTATTCCTTTAAGAGCCATTTTAATATTATCCTCTTATTCGTGTCTAAGTCTTTATAGTGGTTTCATTCCTTCAAAAACTGTGTATTACCATACATGCTACATTCTCTTCCCATCTCATCCTCCTTGATTTGATCATTGTTTGATGAAGACATGTATTATGAAGCTTCTCATTATACAATTCTCTCAATCCTCCTGTTATTTCATCCCTCTTAGTTCCAAATATTCTCCTCAGCACTCCATTCCCAGTCATCCTAGACACAAATACTGTCATCAGGATCTCAGTCTGTCAATTTACTTGTTCTCTATTTGTAACACCTACATAACAATTAGATACTATAGGGTTCTGACAATGGTGTATAACACACAGAGGTAATGGGTTTCCAGACTTTGTCCATCGTCCGGATTCTAAATACGAGGCTCGTCCACAAAGTAAGTTTCCCTGGGGCCGTTTACAGAAACAAAACACAGTTTCATGGAAATATTTATTGCAACAGATACAGCAAGTGTTCAGCTATTTTTCAACATAATCGCCACTGGAATTGAGACATTTGTCATACCGTGGGACCAACTTTTGAATACCTGTGCCGTAGAAGTCTGCCGCCTGGGATTGGAACCACTGTGTGACAACCATCTCCGCCTCTCTGTCATTCTCAAAACGCTGACGCTCACCGGACAGGAATTTCTTGAGGTGTAGGAAAAGATGGAAATCTCTGGGAGCGAGGTCCGGGCTGTAGGGTGGATGATTAAACACCTCCCAGCTGAACTCCTGCAGGAGACTTGATGTCCGTCGAGCCGTGTGCGGCCTAGCGTTATCATGCAGGAAGACAATACCGGCACTAAGCATCCCGCGCCGCTTGTTCTGAATGGCCCGTCGCAATTTCTGCAGTGTTTCACAGTAACACTCAGCATTCACCGTCTCACCTCTGGTCAGGAAGTCGACATGGAGAACGCCCTGTCTGTCCCAGAATACTGTGCACATCACTTTCCGCACCGACAACGTATGCTTGAATTTCGTCTTACAGGGAGATCCACTGTGATGCCAATGCATTGACTGCTGCTTGGTTTCTGGGGTAATGTGTGCAATCCACGTTTCATCACCTGTGATGATCCGGTACAGAAACTCGTCGCCGTCATCATGGTACCGCTGCAGAAAGGTCAATGCTGACTCCATGCGCTTTCTTTTGTGTTCTGGTGTCAGTTGCTTCAGCACCCACCTGGCACACAATATCCTGAACAACAGGTGCTCCGTGACAATTTCGTGCAACAGGGAGCAGGAAATCTGCGGGACATGACTGCTGAGTTCCGCAATTGTGACACGACGATTCTCCATAATACGTTCCCACACAAGCTCCACCAGGTTGTCTGTAATGATGGATGGCCACCCACTGCACTTCTCATCATGCACAATTTGTCGACCTGCTGAAAATTGTCTGCACCAGCGATGCACCATCTGCTTGCTCATGACGTTAGGCCCATAGACCCGGCACAGCTGACGATGAATTTCGATCGGCGCTATGCTCTTTGCATTCAAAAACCTTATCACTGACCGCACTTCACAGTCAGCGGGAGTTGGAATAAGAGCCTCCATCTTCAACAGCTGCAACGATGCTACTGTGGAAACGCGGGAAATTCCATTTGTGCATGCGCCATGCTACGTCATTGCTCTATCACATACGTGCAGTCACTTCACGCAATATAAGGTTTGCTAGCTGTGGGATGAGTGGGAAACTTACTTTGTGGACGTGCTACGTAACTAAAAACACAACATTTCAGAAACTGGATTTGTTTCCGTCCTCAGGTGAGGAAAGACACCTACTCTGTTGGGTCCCTTAGAAAGAGCTATCTTCATTCACTGGACCTTTCTAAGGGACCCAACAAAGTAGGTGTGTTACCTCACCTGACGGAAACAGATCCAGTTTCCGATACATTGTGTTTTTAGTTATTTAGAATCCAGACGAGGGACAAAGTCCGAAAACCCAGTATCTCTTTGCAACATAACAATATTTAAATTTTATGCCATTGACAATGATTTAATATTCCTAAATAACCAACCTGAAGATGCGCTCCAAAGCAAAGTTTCATACATAAACACTTAATGGGGCTGCCCTTGAGAACAATATGCTAGTACCAGTATGTTTAGGCAATATCACAAATTTTGAGTCCATTTAATACTTTATTTCCTTTGAGTATTAATCCATACATTGAACTGCCAAATAATCTGTAATGAGTAATGGCTCATAAATTTGATATCCACACCTGTGAGTCAATGGCTATGATAAATATGCAAGAAAAAGGACAAACAGTACAAATTAACATTGAATTCAAGAACCATGTTCTGAAAAAGACAATGAGAAGAAAAATTTATAAGACACGTAGATTAATCCATTTTTTTTTTCATTCAAGATAGAATGTAATGTAATGCCTTTAATCACACCATCTCTTTTCTTTTGTCATTCAAAAACCTCTCGTAATTATGCAGTGATTTTGACACTCTCTGCATTCAATTTTCTCTTGAATGTTTCTCAGCTTGGCTTTTGTACTGCCACAATGGAAGGAACAAGGTTACAGCACTCACTGCAGTATTGGGCAGATATCACTCTTATATATATATATATATATATATATAGTTTCTAACTTTATAAAACACTCATTCACCTTAGGTTTCTACCCCAACTGAATATAATCTGCAGTAATTGATGCAACTTATAACCAAATCTAGGTTTGCTTCACACAGCCACCCTCTGAGTCCTTTGTTAACAATGAACACATCTTCACTTGATGATTAAAAACACTTTAACTATATTGTCTGTTATTTTCTCCTTTTTCATATTAAGAAAATCTGAAATGAATGGGTGACACCATAATAATATGTAGTATACCTAATTTCCTTGTTTCAGTTGTTTAACATAAACATTATATTATGACGTCTATCGGGAAGTAATAACATTTCAGTCATTTTCGTTTATTTTAATATGCTGTAGCAAATATACTGCATCAGACTACAACCAGTAACAGCATCCTTGAAACTGATGACGGAATGTTGAATTCAAGCTGCAACCTTAGGTGGAGATGATAAAAGTGCATTAGCCCCACTTCTTCGTCTCTTCAGCTGTTTCCAGAATCTTCTCTCCAGTTGTTTACCCTGTAAAGTGAAGACTGAGAAACTAAAAATTGTATCACCTTCAACATTTTTGTGATTGGGGGATGCTGGTGTTTCTTAGTTCTGAAGGGCAACAGGAAAAGGGTTGGGCTTAGCTTCCACTGATTTGTCTCTGCATTTACCACTGAATTTATTTAAGATATGAAGGTGTCATAGCGGCTAAAATGGACAAAATTTTCTTGGGCTATCAGCCGTATCAACTGGCTGAAAGCTCAACAACCATCTTTGTCTCCATCATCAGCGTCTGATGTGACATAAGATTGAGAACTTCCCCTCTGTATCAGCCCATGGTCCATGATTAGAACTGAGCAGATGCCAATGGAGTGCTAATGGCCTGTCATAAGTTTATCTGTCTTGGTCCTATCTCTGGGTTAGTTCATGTCAGCACTGCTTTATCATGTGAGTTACAGGTAACAGGACCAGCTAAGACTGAAAACCGCCATCCATGTTGAAGTTTCTGGGTTGAAGCCTTATCTCAGTTGCCTTCTTTATTAAGTGGTCCATGGCCTGGCACTTTATCCAGTACAGTGGTTCTGCCAAATCTGATCTTACGGCCTGTTTAAAATTTATGTTCTGCAACTGCTAATTTATCCATATCGGATATTGGTGGGAAAGCTAGAAGGAAAGAGGCCACTCGGAAGACTAAGGTGTAGGTGGGTGGACAATATTAAAATGGATCTTAAGAGATATAGGATGGGATGGTATGGATTGAATTGATCTGGCTCAGGATAGGAACCAGTGGAGGGCTCTTGTGAACATGGTAATGAACCTTCGGGTTCCATAAAATGCTGGGAAATTCTTGAGTAGCTGCAGATTTGGCTTCTCCTCAAGAAGGGCTCAGCTCCATAAGTAAGTAACTGCTGATTTATCTGTCTGGTCCAGGGATATATTCCTCGTATGCACCCTGCACCAGGACAAATGAATCTGGATACAGGACAAAGACAAAAACTTATGATTCCACTTGTTAGCACTCCATTGGCCCATGTTCAGTTCCGATCACGGGCCATGGGCTAGTGTATAGATCTTACATCACATCAGACCCTCACAATGGGGAATGTCGGTAATTTTTAACCACCTGATGCGGCTAATAGCCTGAGAGGATTTTATCAACTTAAATTATTGACTTGGGATGACTGAAATTGAATGATAAGTGACAGAAAACGAACAGTAAGTGTGAGCTCCACTGTGTTTCCTTTCTGTTTCTGAGAAAAATATTTTAGCTCATATGTAATTGCTGGAAGAAAGTTGAATGTGTTGCATATTTTGGTTGCTGTTATGTTAAAGACTGACATTTTCACATGTACTACTTTATGTTTATAAATCTTATAATTACTTTTACGAGATTTCTGATGACACTGGAACTTCCTACAGTATTCATTAGTTCATCCCCCTATCTACATTACAGTTTTGTATTATGATGTTCAAAACTTTGAGTGCCATGGGCCAATGACACTGACTTGGCATACTTGCAAACTGCAACAGTTGAAAAGATCAGCCTGTTGATCACTTAGTACAGCAGTTCTTGAGTCTGATATATCAATTTTTAAATGAAATGTTTCTATATCTGTGATCATTTGAAGGTCATTTGAGGAAACTATTATTGTTGGTTTTTCTGTGTGACTGCACTTATCCCTTGATATCTGTAGCAGGTATTTCTGTGGTTGGGTTTGGCAGTCAGAGGGTTTGCATTTCAAATGATATAACAACATGAAGGCGATCAAAATGTCAATCCTAACCAACATAACAACAGACCTTACATGAGTAAGTTTACATTCTGATGGATGTGATGCTGTGCTGGATGGAGGCAACAGGTTCTCCTAACTACAAGGCTGTATGGCACCACAACCCAAAAGGATGTAATCTTAATATTCACCACTGTCAGATCTTTAAATATCTTATACGAGTTTCAAATTCTGTTGGCAATGGGCTATGGGCTGTTCATTTGTGAGGAAGGTAAAAGTAGGACTACCTCTGTTCATAAATACCAATATGTGTGTCAGAGTGGTGAAAGTACATTTCCCCATATACTAGAACTGGAGATGACAGGCGACCTTTCTATACAGGCAGTGTTACTGTGTGATGATTTTCCACTTACCCAAACAAGAGATGGGTCGATTCTTGGTTCAGGGCCAAATTAATTAAGCTCTAACAGGTTATAAACCCTGGCTCCCCAGTCTGTAATAAGAGACTATTGGTAGGCCATCCAAGTTGCACCCCCAAAAAATTAAAAAAAAAATATATATATATATATCGAATATTTCTGACTGCACTGACTGGAAGGACAGCATGTCTTTGAGGTATCTGAAAATGTGTGAAGAAGGAAGTTTAAGCTCCATACAAGCTTTGATAATGTGACACTCATGTCTTTATGGTTTTATATTTGATGAAGTTCTATTATCATCACCATCTATGACTAAGTGATGGAAATGTATATATCAAAAGCAGTACAAAACTTGCAAGATCTAGATGCAGATGGAAAGAAAATCTTGAAGAACATCTTCCAGATATACGAAATGGAGGTGCAGAGTGGATTCAGCTGACTCAGGATAGTATTTAATTGTAGGTGTTTAAGGATATTATGATGGATATACAAACTCCATAAAAACATTTGATTTGTTTCATTCTGGTCCGTCATACTAACAATTATAAATACAAACCACTCTGTCCAATGTGAAAACAACACAGCAAGCCATGAACAAACCCTGGATGACATCAAGAACCTCCTCATCAAGATAGACAGGCGGCACAAAATCTGCTCCATACAAGAAGGACGATAGGAGTACGGACACGAACCTACGTGGTTTAAAAAATTTTAACTATTGACAATAAAGGTTTTTTTAAATAACATCTAGAAACTTTTAAAAACTTTACAACACCAGGAAGCTACTGTGATTGTGAAAAGTTCGACTTTATGCATACTGTGCATTATAGGATATAAGTGTATGTATTTTAAATCAAAACATCTATTATGATGGTAGTTTCCAGTTTGTAATGATCTTCCCTCTGAAGATGGCCCATAAGGACCGAAACATGTAAGGGAGATAAGTTTTAATGTAGTAAAAACTTATATGTCATATTGGATGGAGTGGTTTGTATTTATCCATAAAACAAGTTTTCCTAACCAGGTGGATAATTATTAGTTACATATGGTGACCCTGCACCATGGAGTTCGAAATACATACGTTCTGTCGGCGTGGGGTGAGTTGTCGAGGCAGGGTGGTTGGGATATCATCCACCGTGTCCCTGTTGAACAAACGGAATAAGGGTCTACCACCTGTCCCATCCTCAGTGCTCCTCCGGCCACTCAGGAAACCAAGACTGCAAACAATCAATCCCACTGCTTCAGAAGCTGGGGATCAGATTACTGGGGTTTTGGACTTCATCCAATTTTAGGTAATAGAGGACATGATGTTTTGGAAACTGGATCCGAAACGTCATGTCCTCTATTACCTTAAAATTCCGGATGATGGAATAAGTCCAAAACCCCAGTAATTCTGTGTCATCCACCATCGTCAGAACCCTTAGAATCTACTTGGGCATCACATGCTATGATGCTTCATTTACAATGTCTGCAGAGTGGATAGGAACATGTGGATAACATCCAATGCGAGAAATCAAAATGAATAAACGGTTGCAGCAAAATTCTAAATGATGTGAATCATATTCATTGTTCTATTGAGAGTGAAACATTTAAAATGTCACTCTAATTCACAGATTTCTCAGCCATCTATTGTTCTGCCATGCAAAACAGAGATATCACTGAACTGCATTTAATTAAGGGGAAAATTCCTGGCTGGAGCCCCCAGTACAAAGTGATTATTTTCTGCCTTAAATTTCTCAACACATATTTATTTTTACTCCATAGTTATTGGGCATCCAGTAGCGTAGTTGAGGCACTATGCTACAAGCCAGAAGGTTGCAGGTTCGAGTCCCGATGAGGTGAATTTTTTCAATTTACTTAATACTTCCATCTTCACTATGGCCCTGGGTTTGACTCGGTCTCTAACAGAAATGAGTACCAGGAATCTTCCTGGGGGGTAAAGGGCTGCTGGCGTGTAATGCTGACAACCTCACCGCCATCTGTGAGCCAAGTGTCTAGAGAAAAAGCAGCAGGGGTGTGAAGCTGACCACTCACCTCTAGTTAGTGCCAAGGCCAAGAAAATTTAGATCTATATATCCACTCCCCCATGCGCCTTCATGGCTTAGTGCTTAATTAGTTAAGCATAGAGAGAACTTAACCTTTTACAGGCTGTTCTTCCAGACTTGGCCTATGGGATGCATATGAGAAGTAGGAGGGTGGTGGTCGCAGTTGCAATGTGGGCTCTATATCCCAGCCGGTTTAACACCAGGGACAGAGTCCTCTTATATCCACCAGATAGGAGGCTTGGTGGGTCACAGAGCTGGTCTTGATGCTGTGGGGAAGAGAAAACTCTCTTGCTGTGCAGGGGAATTGAACCCTGATTCCTCAGGCATCCAGCTTGTAGACCGCTGCTACACCGAGTGAGGTATCCCGGTTCCTCTGTGTTCTGCTGTCAAACTGTGAGTGCTTACAGTCTGCTGTTCTTCACTCGATGGGGCTCCTCTCGCCATCTGCGCAGTCGTAGTCGGTTGAAGAAGCCAGGACCCTGCTGCTGCTGCTGGTTGTCCACTGGTGCACGATGGTAATTGTCAGCAACACCGCCAGACTCGCTGCCCTGCCAGCAGAACGCACAACAAAACACACATCACCGGACCTACTAGAGTTCATTACCTTCCCCACCTAACCATGCAGGAAGGCTAACAAATATGTTCTTATACATTTATGCTTTTCTTGTTTTGTTCCTCTAGTTGGAAGCAGATATCAATTTAATATCTTAGTTCAATGTGGGATAGATGTCCATGCTCACCTGTGAGCAATCATTTGTATGGATCTTTACCCTCCAATGCATGCATTACATTCTCCTTTCACATAGCTTTTAACATATTCTCTCTAGTCTGCTTCTGATTTGAAATCAGACATCTTCATATGCTTTCTGGCAGTTATCTGGCCAAACAGATATATATAAATGCAGATGAGGAAATGAAAATTTAGATGAATTTGACACACACTGAGGAAAAATGATGAACAGCGATCAAAGGATGCACTTCAGGGGAATCCTCAGGGAAACGGAGCAAGGGTGAGACCAAGAAACAGCTGGAGGAGATCCACTCTGAGAGGAAAATGGAAGAAGTTGGAATGAGCTGAGGTATTTAGTGTCAGATCAGGATGAGTGGAAAAACCTTGCAGATGACTTAGACTCCTGATGTAACTACAGAATATCATCATCATCAGTTCAAATCAGAAATTCTTGACAGCCAGCAGACCCATATGATGTTCACAATGAATTATAAGGTTCGTTGTCTAGGATGACTTTTTATTCCTTAGTTGCATAAAGTGTACACATACCTCATTCAAATGTTTCATCTCCAGGACAAGTGAATGGATCTCAACAAAATGTTATTATTGGTTCCTACACTAAATGTTGCTGGGCCAGGTGTGACGGGTGTGTGTGTGCCTTGGCAGGTATGGCTTACCTGTTCAGGGGAAGGAGTCTCCTTTTCTATGACAGGAGCAGGTGTTTGTGTGGGGCTATCTGTATCCTCTTCCTCAGGGAGGGGCTCCAGTCTCCTCCTAGGAGGAAATCCTCTTGCACTACTGGAGAGTGGCGGGGTGGCTAGCAGTTCATCCATCATGAGCTCCGTGTCGTCATCCCCGACCCCAGCAGACGAGGTCGAATCTGCAGGCGACTCTTGCTGGAATAAGGTTCCTGATCACTAACTTACTGGCTGATAGACAAACAAAGAAGCAACTAACTGACTGACTGAATAACTCTATGGAGATGAGTTGCCTTTTGCTTGGCTACTCAGGAATTTGTATTGAATCCAGAGGTTCATTACTGTGTTGAAAAGAGCTCCTCCGCAGGTCCTTATCCTGAGCCCATACAGCTCCATCCTATTTAGAGAAGCAACTCACTAATTAACTAAATCCATGGAGCGAAGTCATTCTTGAGTACCTAATATTCTCTGTTTTTTACAACCTTCTGTGAAACCTTCTGTGTCATCTGAAGATTCATCGCTGTATACAGAATGTCCCAGGAGAAAATGTCAATATTCTGGAAGGTCATAGTATCGGACATTCTAAGCAAAAAAAAAAAGTACAGGTACATGAGTCCTATTTCAAATGGTTTCCAAGATAGAGCTATTTCACTGTACAGTTAAAAAATTGTTGCCAAGAAAGGCATATTATGTACAGTTTCTAATACTGGTATTTATTGTTCAAGTGACGAAGTTGGTAGAGTTTAGGTTGTATAATACATTTTCGAAAATTGTGCTGTCAACATCAATGCACTTTGCAACTCATGTGAGAACATGGCGTGCTGCTCGTCTGTACAGTGTACAGTGTACTGCACAGTGAAATAGCTCTGTCTTGGAAACTGTTCAGAATAGGACACATGTATATATACACTTCTTTTGCTTAGAATGACCGATACTATGACTTCCCAGAATACTGACCATTCCTACTGGGACACGCTGTATAGAAGAGTTGACAACTGATCCATAGCTTGAGTTAAGTTTGGTTGTGACCAAAAATTTGACCCAATTCCAAGGTGCTATGCTGTAACTTGTAACATCACCGCCCTGTAATTGAGGGACTGTTAGCCCTGCCCAAACATCAAACTCTAAGACCATCTCTTTAAGCTCTCCATAACTGTTTATGCAATATAGTCACAGATACTACCCATAACTGGAGGCTGTTCCCCCATCCAGAATCGGAGTATGCCCTATGCCTCGGTGAGTAACATCATCATGACAAAGATACTGAGGACAAGGGATAAATGGTGTAATGTTGGTTTAGTGGTCATTAACACTTCGCGGACCAGTGATTTAAATATTTAAATCACCCTGGGGACCGGCATTTTTAAACATACTACCCTAACTTGTGCACTGTTCACTTTAAAAATTAATATAAATCTCCTAATTAACTTTTTGAACTAAAATTTTTGGAGAACACTAACCAATGCTCCTAGAAGTGCTTGAGGGTGCGATATTTCTGGAAACTTTCCCCTTTGTGAAGTGGCATTACACAGAACTTGCAAATGTAGACATACTCCTTTTTTGTGAACTGTGCAAACACGGCATTGCCTAGAAGTATTCTTCCCCTTGGAATGTTCACTCTTCACAATTTTCACGAGAGTATTTTTCCGCATATCACTCAAGAGTCGCCCTGGGGGGTCCACATGAGCCCTTCATAGGGAGGGAGTTGATGGGCCCGGTCGTACTAAGTCTTTGTGTGACCCTGGTTCTGCCGCCACCATCTGGACTGTAGCCCAGGCCTTTGCCACATTAATCAGAAATGCTTTGTATTTCAATTCTGAATCAGGGTTTAGATTTTTTTTAGATTTTTTGCTGTCACTGCAATCTTACTACGCGCAATGTTATTACCCGCATTATCGTTGGAGCTACTGTCACTTTTACTGTCTGTGGCCACAATTCTTTGTTGTCCCCCGTCACTGTCGCTGTCTGAATGACAATTAATCCATTACTACACGTCTCACAAGGCAGGTCAGCTATGTCATCGGAGGAGAATTTGTCCTTGATCCATTCTCCCCACTAGCTACTGGCTGATACACACAGCTTGAAGAAGGCAAAGGATTTTCCTTTATAGTCGGTTAAGTAAACAGCGAGGTCAAGTTACTGACTGCTAACTAAACATTCCAGAGTCTTATCACGCATCTGCAGGCGGTTGCATGCAATGTAGGTGGCGCCAGAGTGATGTATAGTGTGTTGCAACTTATCGTGTTCTAAAAGCCTGTTAACACACGAACAGTCTGCCATGTTTAAAAGCGATAAACCTTTTAAAGGGTGCACGGTCCGCAAAGTGTTAAGAAGTGAAACTTGGCAGACACATTGCTGAATCAGAAGCTAGCCATCATCACAACTCTTTTGCAAAATGGATGCCATTCAGTGTGAGATGCTCACCAACACTGCAGATGGGAACACCAGCTCCTCGTCTAGTTCTCCCCCACTGGTTGGGGTACCCCAGACTTCCTCACCAGATGTGGCTGCCGAGGTGGAGCACTCATCTCCGGACGATGTCGTGTTGGGATCGGGTGGTGAGTCTCCACACACAGGCTGTTGCTGAGTGTCGGCTGTCGGCCTCAGATACCTGTAGCAGCCAGATCAACTTGTGATAATGCTCAATTATTTCTGCTCAAAATCTTATGAACAAGGACCAAGTTTCATGTTTGTGCTCACAGACAACACTATTACTATCACTGTGTCATAGATGGCATGAATCATCAAGCAGCCTACCTGGTAACACACGTACATACACTCTCACCCTTTAAATAATTCTGGCCCTACCTACCTACCTATACACATGTAGTGTATACACCTATATGTAGTGACATGATGGCTGAAAGTCAGATCAGCGGAACAAGAAAAGGTGGTCATTACTAGGTAACGGCGCAGTTTTCTGCGTGGTCCATTTCCCAGGTTGTATAACAAGGACCAGCAGCAGCAGCAGGCTCCCAGAGCTGTCAGACAGCAGAACATGGCCATGAGTCCCATGGGACTTATAGCCGAGAATAACTGTGCTGGCATGAGCAGAAGTCATTCAGTCAGTCAGTCAGTCAGCCAGCTAGACAGCCAGTGCCACAAGTTGCATACCTAGCAAAGACTAGTGATGACAGTTCACAGTTGGCCATGAGAAATCTATTGTTAGCAACTGCTACCTAGTAATGACTAGTGGAAACAGAATAACAAACAGAAGACCCTATGTATGCTGCATTTGTAGTGTTCTATAGAGTGTGTAAATTAGCAAGACTATTAGAAAGAGCTAATAATGTTAGTCACTGGATTAAGGTTTGCTCTTTCTAATGGACCCAACAAGGTGTCTCCCAATGGAAAAAGTACTGGTTCTGAAATGTGGTGTTCCTTAGTGTTGTTTAGAATACTGGATGATGGACAAGGTCCAGAAAACCAGTAATCATGAGTAGATAGCTTTTGTATTTAAAACTAATTATAATCGCTTAACCCTAAGACATAGAGAAAAGGAGACAGGAATCAACAACATAACATAACATAACACATTATTTTACATATAAGACTGCACATTTTGCTGTTGGTGCACATAAACACTAACAGTGGCAAGAGTTGAGAGACATCAGCTCACCTGTCCAGGAACATGGCTGCTCTTGAATCTTCACCCAGTCTCTCAAATAGTGCCATCTTTTCCGCCACAAAGGATCCTGCTCTGACCGTCCAACCCCTCAGTGACTGTGTCACCACTTCCAAGTGGGGGGGACCCGCTGGAACACATATAGGCAGCTTCTTGATATTCTGATTATCTGAAGATTCTCAAACACATGATGCCTGGCAAGAAAACAGTGTATGTGAAACTAAGGATAAAGTTGTCCCTGAATTTAATTAAGCATTATTCCAGGACCAAATGTAGGTGAAACTTGGGTTTAAGCCCTGACTACATTACCCCCAGGAATGAGCCCCAGTACCCATGTGATAAGAGGTTGGCTGGGTGCACTACTGAACCATTCTGGACACTGTGAAGAAGAGAAAAATATTGTCACGTGTCTTGAGTTCGAATCCTGTCGGTCACATGTGTAAGTCCAATCCCACTTCTGAAACACCAGTTGTCAAGTGTTCGGTGTATAACGCGACAAATAATTTCACGCCTTATTTGATACAGCAAATTTATTCCACTCGCTCTTGCAATCGCACAATTTACAATCTGACAATTACTGCCATTGGTAGTATCACAAATACTACAACGAAAGATAGCTATTGACTGGTTAACTGACCTAACTTGTAACTCGTAACTGCTGCTTTGAGAACTCGTTCACTGCTGATCACACACTAATCCTCGCTTGCTGCTCAGCCAGCTTTTATTCCGTTCGCTGTTGCCTGTTGCCCGTGTCACAGCTGCGTTGCGTGTCTCGTCACAGTAGGAAGCGATGCCACGTAGCCCGTCACCGTAGCCAGAGCTGCCACGTCACAGTAGGGGGAGGGAGGGGGTGTCCTCCATTGCGCAACACATCACAATAAATTACCTTTGCTGGGACTTGAATCATCGTCTAGCCATCCAGACTAAGGCCTATTACCCATCCAACTTTTAGGAAAAATCAGCACTTAATGCAATACAGTTGCCACACAGCTGTTCGAAGACTCAGCCGATACAATTAATGATGGATATGAAGTGGATGATATTGTGACGTGTATAGCCATTGCTAGGTGACGATCTAGTAAACACGTACCCACAACACATGTGCACGCAACAATAGGGTGTCTACTGTTAGGTAACAGAGCTGTTAACTCGCTCCTTAACAAGGGGTCTGCTCCAAGGCTATGTAATGAAGATCTCATGCAGCTAGAATTGGATTTGGGTTGAGTTCTGGAGATGGCAGTTGAGGGTTCAGCTGTGGAATGTTAACCAGAGAGCAGCAGAAGCTGGAGAATCTCCACTGCTATGACCCATTACCACAAAATGACTAGTGAAGACTGAGAGGACTGTACGTGTACTGCAGTTACAGTGATCTCTGGAGCATGTAACTCAGTGAGACTGCTATAATTACTTGTAGTTACAATCCGTAAGTGTTCAATAAATCCAATTACCAATCCAAAGCCAATCTATAGTCACAAATACACGTGACAATATATAACTGTTCGTGGTGACAGACCAGTTTTATTGACATTAACAGGCATTACAAAGATGTAACAACTATACCAAGAACTCCCTTTGGTACCTTTGGCATTTATTCATTTGTCCCTTATGAGCCTGGTTCTGTGCTGCCAATTTTTATGACTTTTCTCCATTGCTTGAAGATTCTTTGTCTCTGTACTGCCTTCGGCAAGGGGGAGGCTAGGAAGCTAGGGGATTCTCCTCATTCATTGCCTCATCGGCTTGAAGTTCACCATGTGCCTTGGGGCGTTTGGACCTTGTGGAGGATGATGGGGATAGGGAGGCCGCCAGAGGATGGGGTTCACTGATGTGACACCACTTTCTGACGCCTTTCTCTTCTTCTCACTGTCGTTATATATATATATATATACATTACACTCTCACTCTGGTTGGTAACCATAAATTACACATGTAAGTAATTGAATAAACACTGGGATCCAACATCCTTAACCTTTCTCACCCGACTGCGGGTTCCTGTACCTGGCACTCGCAGGTTATTTCTCCTACATCCTACTCCTGCCCTACATTCCTGGTTCTAGCCTTGGGTGTTCGCACTTGAATAATATCACCTTAAGTTCACGGCTATAATTGGTAGGTCCACTTACTTGAGTTCAGGATGCAGAAGATTGTTCCCAGGCAACACACTTTCAACGCAATTTTGGGGATAGCTTCCGGCAGCACTCTACTCAAATTATTGATCGAAAGATTTTTGCTAGTTTCTCCTAGCCATTTTATAGTCTTTTCCCTGCTAACTCATCAGCTTCCGGGGATTCGCTCCTCCCTGCCTGACGTAATTGTCTCTCGGGATGACAATCATCTATTGGCTGGTTGCTGGAAGGCGGTTGTGTCTCCCAGTTTACCCACCTTCCTCGATTCAGCAACTTACTAAGCTAACTCTCCTCTCTGCGTGGCCACTTCTGCGTTAGTCAGCAGTATGGTGCAACCCAGCAAATTCCTACGTTCATTGAACCTTTCTTACCCAGGTTTTCAAAACATCCCTAGTTCAATTCCCTAAATCTGTTAACCCTAAAGAAAACATAGTAAATTTAAAAATACAAATTCTTGCCCTATCCCTGTGGCATAACAGTCTCATATACTGTTACATGATCAGATGATAATCGGTTTGATGCCTCCCCTGAATCCCATCTGAATTCGTCTCTTTGTCGGTCTTCTTAAGATGCTGCACACAACTGTTAAAATTATCCAGTCAGCCCAGCGAAAACCTCTTGATTAACCTTCCTATTTCCAATTGTTTTGTCCCTGTTATTCATACTTATGTGATGCTTTATGTGAGCCCACGACAGTTGAAATTGAATTTTATGGCAAGACAGTCTTGACACATGAAATTAGGTCTGTGTTCAACAGTTTTGATAGTTCTTCACATGCAGCTTCAGAATGCATAACAAAAAATATATCACAAAATTTGGTGGATCTACCCTTACAGGATTTCCTTCTCAAGGTGAGCATCTGGAAAAATTACTTGACTTCTATTCACCTGACCTATCAATAATAAACAGACAAGTCCAAATGACCACCTACAAGGTAACATGGGAAATCCCCATATACCATATGATAACGTCTTGATGACAGTCCCACTGCATCCAACTTGCAACCCGATTAAATGGGACGTCACACATGTCAACATAACATCATGCCCACCTAGGAAGGAACCATACCAGAGCAACCAGTACACCAGTGAAATAACTAACAGATATATACATATATTTTAATTTTAATTTTGACCTTAATTTAATCTTGAACTACATATACATTAATTTAACTAATTATACCTAATACCAACATAATTGCATTAAACAGTATGTAATACCAAGAGTTTTACATTATATAGTCATGTTAAAAACATGGATCCATGTTAAAAAACAAGTTCAGTACCTGAGCACAAACAATACACTTGATGATGACCCAATATGGGTTGAAACATGTCATGTTTTTAAGATTTTAACATAAATATTCTAGATGGGTATATTTTTATAAGAAATTGTTGTGTTGACAGATGCAAAAACACTCAACGTACATAACACACAACAGCATGCAGCACATAATGATATGAATTTACTCTAAACTCAGTTTCTCAATAGCAAATTGAAAGTAATGTTGCATGAAATTCCTGCCTTTTGGATCAAACACGGACAAAGATCAGGATTTATTTGGAATGTTCCCCAAAAGAGAGTAGGCTATTGATGCCACGTATCTTGGGGGAACACTCAGAAGAAAATCCTTTGTTCTATGCTGTACACTACCCAACGAAGTCAATGCACAGCCCAATTCAGAAAAAAAATATTCTGTGACTGAAATTTATTTTTTTAAGAAAACGTATGATAATTTTAAAATCATATTTCTTGAAATACACGTAAACACTTACTGTCACACACGAGCAAACAGTGCCTGTTGTTTATATAAACTTGTAAGCATATGATAGACATAAATTTATAAACTTTAATGGATTGTATCCTGTTGTATGTGTAGAATCTATGAATATGACCATTAACACCACAATTAATGCAAGAGATCGCTTTCAGACTAAGACGAACAGGTATTTGTTTGTATATGCATAGATATTATACTACATGTTTCGACCTATACAGGGTGATTCACGAAGTTTTACCCCGGCTTATGGTACATATTCCTGGGGTTATTTCCTGCAAAATTTCCTTATATACTTGCAGTCGATTTTCAATAGTTACGGAGTAACAATAGATTTTTGAAATGCATCAATGTGAATGCAGCACTATGCTTCCTGCCTGGGCAACCATGCCTTCCAGTCAGCTGTGTCAGCAGCATATGCATAGATATTATGCTACATGTTTCGACCTATATATAGGTCAGGCATTCATATGTGAACTGTCAATCAAGTCATGTTATATATTAAAATTAGTCATCCAACATATCTTGATTTACAATTCATATATGAATGCCTGATGACAAACCATATTGTAACGTGTTGGGTATGTCACGCGACAAATAACTTCACACCGTCTTGGATATAGCAAATTTATTCCACTCGCTCTTACATTTACACAATTCACAGTTTCACAATTACTTCTCCTGTTTCCATTCGCTCCAGCGAATGCTAGACTGCAACTGACTGGTTACTCCCTCTCACTGACGAATACTACTGTTATGTAGCTTCCGCACTGACAACACAGAAAAGTTACGTGATAGCTTTCACTGTTGCGTGACATCATGTTTACCGATTTCCTAGCAACAGTCGCTGCATGGGCTCCCTTGTTGCGTGACACTGTGTTTACAAAGGCGTTGCTGGGCAACGCTGCGTAGCAACCAGCGCTCTTCGGCTCGGCTCAGCTCAGCTCAGCTTGGCACACACAAAGACCACTTTCTTTACTGTTGCGTAACCTCATTTCCACTGTTGCATAACTTGGCAACTGACCGTTTATCAAGTGTCTGTCTTCGTGGTAACTTGTTCCACCTCCTGTTGCCCAGAAACGGTTAGACATGTCACACTGCTCCCTTCTTAAGGCTCTTCATCCCAAATAGCGTAACAATGCCTCACCAGTCCTTTCCTTCCGAGGCTATACTTGCAACGTCTTCTTCTTGTCTGGTTTGGTGTTTCTTTTCTTCCCGTAATCCGTTCTTCAACCACTACATCCGCTCCCTTCTTAAGACCAGCTCGTCTCGAGCGGTTTCCAGCTAACTTGCCAGAAGATGCAGTTGTATCACATTCATCCATCACACATTCAATCTCGTTTGGGAGGCCAGTGTTTCTATATTAGCGGCTCCGCCTCGATCTGTTGTTTTCTTTTCTGTTTTGGAGGGGGCTGACCCCTTCACAAGGTCCAATTCTTGTTTTGTCGTAATCCGACAGAAGATCCGGCTATTTGCTTCACGATCTTCCTGCCGACAATCTCGTAGCAGATCATTTTCAGAGTTCCTCTCCTTCCTAGTTGCGATTGCTGTCCTGATCTACACCCTCTGATGGTGTTCTTGGTTGTCACCCTTTTCTTCTGACATAGCAGCCATCTGTCACCTATGTTCTTTATTCCCATTCTTCCTTTGTGGAGAATCTGCACTCTTCTGAGTTTCTGGAGTTTTTCCTCATACTTGGTCCTGGTACAGTTTCTCCTACCGACGCTTCTCTTGCGCCAGGCGATTCTTGCATAACCGGACATCTTTCTGCTGGTTTCATTTGTCTGCCGTGCCACTTTCGCATGGTGGCTCGTCCCTCTGTGGGCAATGGCCAGTCCTCTTCTTCGGCACCCATCCTGACACTGGGCCTGTTCATTTTTTGCTGGTTTCTGTCCCTATGCCTTTTCTTCTTCGGTTCTCCGACCGGCATTCCTTCGGCGTCTTCTACGGGGACCTCTCATCGTTCTGCCGCCTCAGGTTTCATGTCCACTGAGGTTGGCTGTTCTTCTTCTAGATGTGCCTCCGTCGTTTCTCAGTCAGCATTCGTTATGGCCAGCCCCTGTCTTAGCTTGGTAGGATTTCATGTTGGTGTCTATTCTTCCAGCCTGGCTTCCGTCCTTGCTTGGATGGCTATTATCTCCATCAGAAGTTCCAACATTTGCTATGAGTTCATTTTGTGGCAGCATTAATAATCAGTGCACTAGTAAATTTGATTATTCGTCAAGGTGTGTTCAAGTTCATAAACTAATTCTGACACCAAATTGTCATGTGTTGGGTATGTCATGCGGCAAATAACTTCCACACCATCTTGGATATAGTGAATTTATTCCACTCGCTCTTATATTTACACAGTTCACAGTCTAACAATTACTGCCATCTGGAGTACCACAATTACTTCTCCTGTTTCCGTTCACTCTGACAAATGCTAGACTGCAACTGACTGGTTCCTCTGGTAATTCTCTCTCACTGATGAATACTCCTGTTATGTAGCTTCCACACTGACAACACAGAAAAGAGTTACGTGATAGCTTTCACTGTTGTGTGACATCGTGTTTACCGATTAACTAGCAACAGTCGCTGCACGGGCTCCCCTGTTGCATGACGCTGTGTTCACAAAGGCGTTGCTAGACAACGCTGCATAGCAACCAGCGCTCTTCAGCTCGGATCAGCTCGGCACAGACAAACGCTACTTTCCTTACTGTTGCATAACCTCATCTCCACTGTTGCGTAACTTGGCAACCGACCGTTTATCAAGGGTCTGCCTTCGTGGTAACTTGTTCCACCTCCCACTGCCCAGCAACGGTTAGACATGTCACACTATATAGGTCAAAACATGTAGCATGAAATCTATGTATGTATAAATAAACACATTTAAGTTCACATTTATCATTTTGAATGCATGGAAAGAGAACTTCTGCCAACATATTTGCGTGAAAAGGCCGAAGTCACAATACTCACACGACTCCTGCTTCTTACTGCATTCCCCTTCATCGATATCCGAATCCCACTCGCCATGATCTTCTGAGTCCGTGGAATCTTCAGCTACCTGGTTTGTATCGTCCAGCATCTCGAGGCTGGCCAGAGTACCATATCTCTTCATGCCACCAGGGGATGTGAGTGACTGGTATGGCGGTTCTTGGTCCACGCTATCATCCTCATCATCATCATCCTCTCTCTGGAGCAGAAACGGAAATGTCAAGTATGTCCTTAACTTGAAGACGAGGTTCTACATAGAGATCAGGGGTCACCTTCATGCCCCAACCACTTCACCCTAGGGAAACAGCCCTTGATATGCTTTAGATAGGCAGAAGGTTCCTTCTGGGACTACTGACTGCTCCAGGAAGGGACATAAAGGTAACACTCCACACAATGGTAACCTCAACACTAGATACAGGGGAGTGGTGACTATTATGTTGCCACTTCGTCTGAGGGGACAGGCTGGGAGGACTCTAGAATCCATCTGTGTGTGATGGCAAGGGGGAACATTTCTGCCCCCCAATTGCAGATGTGAACCTTGGTCCTCTGTATATGATGGAGCTATTCCCACTAATAACTATGAAAAAAACACACCCCCCATATTCACGTGACATGATCTGAAACCAGCAAGCGGTCTGGCTCAAGTGGTAACACTTGTGGCCCTGTAGTTAGAAGGTGCCTGGTTGAGGTCTTAGGAGGGAAGATTATCCTCACTGACGTTTATAGTGGTTTTCTCAGTCACTCCAGTCACTCATAAACTAGACCATGGCCACTTCCTTCTACGTACATCATTCCAAATTTATGATTCACTATTTGTATGACAATATGATGCTATAAAATCTGAGATACTGACAGCCGCAGACTGCTGCACCAGTACTGACTGGTATTGTGGTCACAAGAGTCATGTCTCATGGGAAGTAAACCATAACAAAAATTTGACACTAGTTTATAGGGCTTTGATCTGTCACATTTTTCGCCATATTCAAAGATAATATAGCTTAACAATTGATAATGGATACAGGTGGCATTTTCCAGATTGTGACATGATGTCTGAAGGCCGGAACAGCGGTGCCAGATAAGACGTCCATTGCTAGATAACGGCTAGGTAAACAAGTTTCTGTGGCGATGTATACCAAGTAACAATAGAAGATTTGTTGAGAATGATGTTTTCTATTCAGTCTGTACAAAGAAGAGTCTTCAGTTGAGAACAGTCAGTCAAGTTCCGGCGTTCCAAGTGAGCAGTTAGTCGAGAGTTGAGCTCTACAAGGAAGGCTGAGAAGATGGCACTATGAGTTCAGCTTGTAGTCATGCTGTGAAGAGAAGACTTTACGTATGCTGTAATTCGGTGAGACTGTCACAGTTCCTGTGTTAAAATCCATTGCCCAGGAAACAGATAGTGCAGGCTGTAACAGACTGAGGACACTAGTGTGTGTGATAGCAAACTGTAAAGTGTTAAAACTGTGATAGTTTTATAGTAGTTTGTAGTATTACCTGTAAGGGGTTCATAAATCCAATAATCCAAAACCCCGTCTATAGTCATGCGCACACAAATATGTGACAATAATAACCAATAACCAAACACATAATATTTTAACGCTGCAGGAAAATAACTACAGAAGAAACAAGATGGACCCATAAATATTAACAAGATTCAATTGAACTGCACACACATTAAATCCACCTTCCAAACTGGGTCCTGAACATTATCAATATGTAAGTCAAGGGGAATTACCTGAGATGTGATGTCCGACAGTGGGGTTGCCTCCACAGGGGGACTGTTGAGATCACTGTCATCCCACTGAAAATCAGAGTTTCTTGGGGTAGTGTCAGGGGTAGGGGGTAGGACGGAGATAAGTGGTACCTCAGTGGGAGAAAAGGGGTCAGCTGATGACTTGGTGAGACCCACTGATGCATTGAGCGCTGATATTCCCATGAGGATGAGTGGGCCCCAGTTGTCGTTGCATTCATCATCATCCTCGTCCAGCCCTGAAAACAAGTGACATACCTTGACAGAATGTAGTTCGATACTGCACATGTGTTATATCATGTTTCTGTATATGACATGGACAGGAAATGTACTGCAGTCACCAGATGAGCTGATCCCTCCCTCAGATGAGCTGATCCCTCACTCAGAGGATTATAGGGAGAGCAGAGGTACGCACATGCCTCTCTGTTCTGCTATACAAGAAGCACGCAGTACCTACAGTTAACTCGCGTAACAGTGGTGATTAAAGAGCCGTGAGTTAATGTTTTCTGTGAAGTGGATACCTGCCATATCGTACTGAGATACCTCACACGGATCAAGGCAAGGCATGCAGGGCTTAAGGGAACTGATGTATAAGATGTATGAGCAGTACATGTGTGTGTGTGGGTGTGTGTATGTGTGTGTGTCTATATTAGGTAATCATACTTGATGAGAACATAAAACTATTAAACATCTTGAAGCATAAAGTTCATCTGAAGAATATTAAAAAATTCAGTTCCTACTTCAGAGAAAATACACCATGTCTCTGTTATGAAGTCTGATCAGTTAACAATGTATAGAGAAATAATCCCTGTTTATTAGCAGAACCATTCACTGTGTGAGCAAAATGTGGAGTTTCTTAATGTTAAACTAGGCAGTGCATATAGCTACCACTGTGCTTCAGTGTGACATGATGTTATGAATGAAAGTAAATGCTTACTGTACATTTAGTTAACTTTATGCATATAAAACTCTTCTTTAATTGGAGATGTATGTCATACACAAAGTCCAACCAAACAACAGCATATATCCTCAAGTCTTTTTACAACTGTTCTCTGTGTGACCCCTTCATAACCTGGCAAATACCTGTTAATGGTAGTCCGCTTCTGTCCAAATCACAGTAAGGGCACCCTTGTCCATTATGTCCAAGGTTCATGTAATTTAAGTATTCAATGATTCAGTGCTGTGTGACACAAAAGACACCTTTATAAAGTCCTGTAACTGTAAGAATTTTAGGTTGTCACAGTGGCGGTTATAAAGGCTCCTGTCCTCAGGGATATAACAGCTTGTAGTCTGTAGAAAGTCAACTGATATTTCAGAGGAACACATGGCCTTGGGTGTGCCATAGCTCAGGCGGTTAGTCACTGGCTTACCACCATGGTGGCCTGGGTCTGAGCCCAGGTTAGTTCATGCAGGATTTGTGGTAGAGAAAGTGGCAGTGGCAGTTTCTTCCAAGTGCTGTGGTTTCCCATGCCAATTCTCAGTCCACCGACTGCTCCATACTCATATATCAATTATCATCTGGGGCTGGTACAGTTGACCAGTTAGTGGCCAACATACCAAGTGGACTCAGTCTCTTCCCATCCCAAGAAACTAAAAAAAAAAAAAGAAAACTAACACATCACCTCCATCATCAGGGTCAAACAATAAGCCAAGGAAAAACCAGCAGTGTTTTCCTCTGACGTAGAAGTGAACCATAAAATGCTAAGTTAATGTCAGTTTTACAAACGTTAATGCATGTGGATCACTCCAAGTGACTGGAATTGAAGTTGGTGACACCTGAAAGCATTCAGAAGGCTTTTATGAGAAGCATGTAGTTTGAAGCGCGTGCCAAAAGAGCTTACCAAGTCCATTGTTGTTATCTGCAGTGACCTGTTGCTGCATTAGGCTGCTGTTTGAGAGACACGTCTTGTGGCATTGTCGACACACGGACACCCTCTTCTCAAGACCTCCAGATCGAACTGTTACCTGTAACAGGGATTTAGAAGAATAACACTGTGCAGGTTTGTAGGTAGATAGGTTTCAGTGCTGTAGAGGGGCATGCTGTTCCCTTGTTTACAGGTGGCCTTTGCATGACTGTAATGTCATTGCAATCTTAAATTGCACCACATGAAAGCCTCAATCTTTGTGCATCTGTTTTTTTCCTTTGTGTATAAGCTACATTAATGTACATACAATTTTTAATGAAATTTGAGTCAATGAAGCTATTTAGATTAGAATAGGCCGCGCCATAGCTCAAGCCGTTAGTCACTGGCTTCCCACCAAGGCGGCCTGTGTTCGATCCTGGGTCTGGTCAAGTGGGATTTGTGGTGGACAAAGTGGCAATGGGGCAGGTTTTCTCCGAGTACTTCAGTTTCCCCTGCCAATCTTCATTCCACCAATTGCTCCATAATCACCCTCACCTATCATCTGGGGCTGGTACAATAGGCCAGAAGTGGTTGCAGTACAAGGGACTTAAAAATAGATTAGAATAACTTCTGTTGAGTAATAAAACATTGTCTTTTTTCACATTATAGTTCAAGAAAATTATAAGAACCCCAAGGAAGCAATATAAAAGAAAAGCAACTCTTTGTTTCTACTTAACATTCAATACACAAACATGATATGATATAACATTTTTTGCCCACATTTCCAATCTACAAATAAGAAATAGTTTATTAGGGCTGGTTTTCTTTTATGACATAATAATCTTCCTGACTATTGTCATGCACTGAATAAGGGAATATCTTAGACACAACCTACACGTGCAAAACAAATGCAAATCCTACATTACATACCTACATGTCTTTGATTTGTATCAAGTCACTCCCTTCAAGAATCAGAAAAGAAGTTTCTAGGTTTCTCTAGGTTGCAGTTCGTGAGTACTGTCTGATGTGTGGTGCTGAGAATCCTTCCTGGTGCATAATGTGGCATATTTGCTCAAAGCAAGAACTGTGGAGCCAGAGAAACAGCCACTGCTAGGTAATGGCTGTGTAACACACAACTGAGAAACCGTTGGAAGCGGTGTTTTCTGTACTGTCCGTCTGTACTGAGGACCATCTGTCATTACGAGAGTCCTGAGACCGCAGTTAGAAGAGTAGCAGGTTGGTGTGAGATGGCGGCCAGCCTTCGAGGACGTGGGCAGGGTGTCTCAGAACAACTTTCACTGTTGGAAGACGTTACCAAGAAGCGCTGTGAAGACTGTGACTGAGATCACTAGTCTGTGTGTGACAGTGATCTGTAAAGTACTGTCACGAGTTCTCTAAATGTCCAATATATCCAGCTACTCATCCAAACCCTGTCTATAAAGGTAAAGTTGTCTCTGCGCTTAACTAATTAGGCACTTCACCACTGAAGGCGTATGAAGTTGGAAGTGAGTGGTTAGCTTCACGCCCCGGCCGCTTTACCTCCTGGGGAAGAGCCCCCAGTACCCATCCGGTAGGAGGCTGGGTGAGCTCCAGAGCCAGTCTTCACGACGTGGAGAAAATTCTTGATCCTACCGGGACTCGAACTCTGACCCCTCGGCCGTCCAGCTCGTAGTCAGGCGCTAAACCGACTATGCCATCCTGGTTCCCAATTACTAAATACGTGTCAGTATTAGCCAATGATTCTCAAACCTCCAAACCTCCACCGCCATGATGTCACCATCAGAGCTGCCAACTGTAAAACTTATTTATGAAACAAAAACTTTTGCTTTGCTTGCTGTCTGCTTCATGCTGGTTTTTTGCCTAGCTGGTTTTCAGCCTAGGTGTTGGGTGCGTCGTGGTCTTCAGATATTTCTGTTGAATTTCAAAGGAGTATAAACTGCGTTATATCCGAGAAGGTAGGGCCTTCAAAACACACAGCCTAGTCTTTTGTTTTTAGAATATTTATTCAGAAAACAAAAATCAAAGTGCTTAACCTTTTCAATAAAAAAACATAACTTAGTGGACTCTGGAGGCAAGTTCTAACGTTAAGTTTTAAGTCTAGTGCTAACAAGTAAGCTCCTAAAGGTTGGCATCACTAACGTGGCGGTAACTTTCAAACTTACTTGGGTCGTCCCGTTAAGTGAGGCACATGGTAGCGTAGTTGGTCGAAGCACTATGTATGCTACATGCTGGAAGGTTGTGGGTTCAATTCCCGTGTCATTGGATTTTTCAATTGACCTAATTCTTCCAGCAGCACTGTGGCCCTGGGATCGGCTCAGCCTCTAACAGAAATGAGTACCAGGGCCTTCGCGTAAGTCTGACAAACTTACCGCCATCTGTGAGCCGATTGTCTGGAGAAAATGTGGGAGCCTCGACGTCTCACAATTCTTGGGGCTCCAGGGCCTGTTACGGGGATAACCTTACCCGTTATGTATGTAAGAACTGAGTCTCATATTTTGACAGCATTGTACTAACAATAAGCACCTGACTGTCAGAAGAAGTCTGTGACCTGCTCCGCTCCGTGCTCCTGGACTGACTTCTCTCCGTGTCCGACAGTTCGAATTCTTCACACCTGCTTTCGGATCTCACGCCCATCAACTGGAGCTGTTCACTGCGGCGTCTCAGGGTTTCTGGCGACCAAATTTCGGGTTCCGGTTCCTCATCGGGCGTCATAGCCGCTCCACCCAGCTGTCCTCTTATCCATTGCGCCAGATGTAAAGCGCTGCCCTTGCTTGCCCCAGACTTGCCCAGCTGACGACATCTGTGTTCGATTAGTTCATCTAGGTGCCTCTGGGAGTTCCCGAGCGACTTGCAATCAGGCATCGGTGTCTGAAAGTGCAAAACAAATGAAGCGATATTTTGCACAGGCACGTAAGACAATGCTTACATACGGCACTTCCTGAGGTCTTCAGGGAGTTAGGGGATGTCACCCTTAAGTCGGTTTCTAAAGGTGAACCATACACTGCATCCAAAATACTCATCTCCATGTTTCTTTTGTTTAATTATATTGTTTATAAATACAGTAATTTTGGTTTACTCAGAACGAAAAGCAAAGCAAACTCAGAAACCGGAAATTTCCTTGATGGCTCGTTATAACTTAAGGGGGCAGCTTTATGGAAGTAAATTTCTGTGTGTTACACGAGATGTCCTATTTGACTATCTGGGTTATCTATCTTGCGTTAAGAATAAAATCTAACAGATTTATAATGATGACATGGATCTTGGTCATTATCTTATGATGACGCGTCCTTAAAAAGTTTAGGGTAATGGTTTAGTTTTTACCAAAACATCACGCACACTACATATTTTTACTGGAATACATGTAACCATTTGCATAGTATTTATATTATTATGGTCAACTAACTAGCAATTAACCATGTAAGATTTGAGGTTTTCACGGCGGTAACTATGAAAAAAGCAGTCTTCTGGGATTTGGCACCGTGTATATGCCGGTTCTTAAGGTCTCTTCGCCTGCGGATTTCTTATATTTTTCCTTCTACCCTGAACATTGAGGCGATACGTTCCTCCGAAACGTCGGTTAACACCACATATACACGGTGCCAAATCCCAGAAGACTGCTTTCTTCATAGCAATTAACCGTTCACAGTGGCCGCGCGGTCTAAATCATGAACTGTCTTTGCTCGCTCGAACGCTGGGATCATGGGTTCGAATCCCAATCGAGGCATGGATGTCTGTGTGCGTCTCTTCTGTGTTTATGTTGTTCTGTGTGTCCGTAGGGGCCTTGCGACGGGCTGATCCCCCGTCTAAGGAGTCCCACCGACTGTGTATAGGATTAAGAAACTGAGGAAGCGGCCAAGGTCCAACAAAAGGACTGTAGATAGATAGATAGATAGATAGATAGATAGAACTCGCAGTTAGGCACAATTACTCAAAGACGGTGTTACGACTCTAAGCGTAATCATCATCATCAAGTCATGATTACTATTGCAGCAAAACTGCCAGTAAACAGTTTAATTTTTTAAATGAAAAAACTAGATCATGATCTACTTGGTGACGAGTAATGTTGATAAATGCTGAAATCAAATCGCTCTTATTTTGTTCTTAATATCAGAATTAGCAGTTCTGACTCGTGGTTACAAAAGAGACGATTAAATACAGCTAAAACGAACTGAATATATCAGCTGAATTTGGCTTTAAAATTAGTTATTTTTTTTCTCGAACCATGACAATGTATGTATATATTTTATGACAAAGTGAGTCTACTGTGGTTCGAAAATGTTCAGAAGGGAACAGACAAAAAACAAAAAAAAAAAAACAGGCGCAAAACAAACAAAAAGAAGCAGCGAAACAAAGTATGAGTAAAATTTTATGAGTGGAAATAGTGATGACGTGTTACTTTGTTTACAAATAATTCCCCAGTTGCTTATCTTATATGACTCACAACGTTTCGCAGGAACATACCGCCTCCACCTTCAGGGTCGAAGAGTAAGTCAAACAAAAGACCAACAGAAGGTCAGTTTCCTGCCTTCTTCTGTGCTGGGTCCTGTGTGTGGCTTACCCTCCGATCCTGAAAATGGAGTCGGTATGTTCCTCCGAAACGTTGCGCTCTATCCGAACTACACGGCGTCAAACCCGAGAAAACCGCAAACCTTAAAATTTAATTTTTATTTTAATATAATTTAAAAAATGTAACTACAGTTAAAGTAAATGTAAAAGTAAATGTAAATGTAAATGTAAAGGTAAATCTAAGAGGTACAGGAATCCCTGTAACTGGCCGTGGAGGCCCATAGGTTTATGAAACGTTGAGGATCCCACATTGTCTAGACAATCGGCTCACAGATGGCGGTGAGGTTGTCAGCCTTACGCCCCGGTCGCCCTTTACCCCCAGGAAGATTCCTGGTACTCATTTCTGTTAGAGGCTGAGTCGAGTCCAGGGCCACAGTGCGCCTGGAATGGTTAGGTAACTTAAAAAATCAATGACCTCATCGGGAATCAAACCCACAACCTTCCGGCTTGTAGCAAAGTGCCTCAAGCAACTACGTTTAAGGATTTTCATTCTATTCAAATTGCCTCGACTATACACGGTCCACCGACTTACATAACTAAATAGACGTTCCCTGATGAAGACTCAGCTCAGCAATGGACGTGAGCCGTCATGTCACAATGTTATTCATTTCATGCAGGTTGGTATTAAATTGTTCAATAAATGATCTTTCCTATGAGCTCCGTAAAAGAGATCACTTTGAACACACAGGAATTTTCTTCTGTCAGGTTGCCTACTCAATATATGACGTAAGCTCAGAGATGTTTTGATCTGTTAAATATACCTCAGAATCTGGATAGTATCTGACATAATATTCGAACATAGTCTGTAAATAAATTGCCGTTGATTCAACTATTGTGTATTTGTATCACCCACACACAACATCAGGGCCAATATCAACAACGTACAACGGCCAAGAAATCTAAAATCTGTAACTGTGACCAGATTGATTACAATCTAAGCCTACTCTGAATCTAATATATCTTTGAGATTAGTTACCATCACATGATGACGTAGATCACTACGCCATCAATTGAAAATGATCGCGATTCTACAGGGGGGGGGAGGGTCCAAAAAATGTACTCACTCTTTGATAGTCAATATCTTTGGAACAAAATGACATGTAGTTACAATTATTGCACAGTAGTGTAGTGTAGTGTAATGTTTTCTCAATAGATGGCGAAGGTCACGTGAGTGTCGTGCCGCGTGCGCGCTGCGAGCAGAAGACGGCAGCAACAATGGCTGAAAGGCTGTTCTTTGAGCAAAGCAAGGCTTTATTGAAGTGGTACTGGAAGTACGAAAACATTAAAGAGGTAAAACGACAATGGCAGAATGAGTTTGGAACTCAGCCACCAACACGTCGAACAGGACGTGAATCTACCGGGTGTTAATGTGTGGTGTGGTCTGTCATCGCGCGGTTTGATTGGTCCTTTCTTCTCTGAAGGTACCGTGACTGGTCAGGTGTATCTCGATATGCTTCAGACATCGATTTTCCCTGCCATTCCAGAGCTGTTTGTAGATGAAACATTTTACCTACAACAAGATGGCGCTCCACCTCACTACCATCGAGATGTCAGGGCGTACTTGGATGACACTCTACCTGGACGATGGATAGGTCGAAGAGGTGCTATTGAGTGCCCACCACGGTCTCCAGACCTAACACCTCTCGACTTCTACCTAGGGGGAACCTTGAAGGATGAAGTTTACTGACAAAAGCCAGCTACACTGAACGCGCTATGAAAAACCATCGAAGCGACGTGTGCAGCCATCACACCAGACACACTGACAGTCGTAGTTCGCTCAGCAGTTCGGCGGCATCGACGCTGTTTAGCCGCTGATGGTGGTCACTTCGAACACATACAATGACTCTGTCTCTCTCTCTCTCCACACAAGAATTGTAACTACATGTCATTTTGTTCCAAAGATATTGACTATCAAAGAGTGAGTATATTTTTTGGACCCCTCTGTATTTTCAACATTCGGTGGGAGGCAAAGTTTTGTCATACCGGAGGTGTCGTTGGACAGACAGGCATTTTCCTCCGTAACGTTAAGTTATGACATACTCTCAAAGAAATGTTTAGGTTAGAGTAACATGCTTCTGTAATACTTCACTACACACAGCGCAAGGATACTAATTTATAGGGCTCTAACGAGTATTATATAATAAGAAATTGCATGATCTATAAATTGTTTACACATACATTATTTCTGATCTAGATATCTGGTCGAAACATGACAGTAAAACAGAATCATATTTAGTCCTATAAGGCACATTGGTAACTATATGTACCATCATTCTTAACATTAAGTAAGTCTGAATTTTGTTCATACCGTGTATTTACACGTTTCTCATGGATCCCTTAACAAAAAAAAACGGCTATTTCTCTAAAAATCATTAACTGATTAAACTTCACAATGGTGACGTGGTGTATTTTCTCTGAGATTGGAACTGCATTTTTAAATATTATTTACATGATTTGAGAAATGCTTATTCGGTATTCAAATTACGCTTTGCACTACATTGCATCAAGTGCACTCCTCCCGATATTAATATTAGAATTCAGAATATAAGTAGGAAACCTCATCTTAGCTCATTTCATAAGCTCATAACAATGTCCATTTCTTAACGCTTTAACATCTTCACTTCCCAACGCTTTACCCTCCCTCAAACGTACCTCTGACAAGAAAGACTAACGGGCAATGGCTGGGAACCTTGAAAGCAGGGAAAATATTCTGACCCTCTGTAAGTGAAGCGTCTCTCACTATGTCCCTCGCGGTCTTTTCTTCCTTTTTCAATTTACCAGATTTGCTTCTATTTATTGCCTATATACAGCTCGTTCAGTCAAGGAGGAAACTTCACAACACCGCTGACCCGGCCCAACATTCCTCACAGATTGCTGCTGTAACTGCTGATAGCAGAATGAGTCATTAGCGCTGATAAACGCGCGCCTTATTTCTTTTGGAAATAATTTTGCCGGCGCCCGATTTTGAACACATACAGTATAGTAGTTCACAGTAGGTTATCTTCCAATCCTTTAAATAAACTCGCCGCAGGCAATCACCTGTACATTTAATTACAATTCTTACATTAAATCTTTTCTGAAACATGGAACATATTACTAAAATAAAATTTAAACCCTTGTGAATATGTTAAGAAGAGATGCAAGTTAGGAAGACACCAAAGTTCCGAATTATCTGATAACATGCAGTAACATGCACAGCGAATATAATAATAACATCTAAAAGCATTCTAGCCTAACCTAACATAACATAACCTATCCTAACCTAACCTACTACAACTGGCCAAGCAGTGTTACAATCTAGC